AAATTCTGTCTGACGAGCGCTTCGGCGCGAAACTCAGAGTAACAGAGAATCGATGCGCCCTCTTTGATTCTTCAACTAATGTATACCCAGCTCTGCTAACGCAGCATTGAGCACTTTATGCCAAGGTAGGCTCTACCCTCACATTTATATATATTGCTAAGCTATGTATTTATATATTGCTAAGCTAAAAAGAGTGCTCGACTTACCGAGCGTTAGTAATAAATGATAGTGAGTTGAAAGATTTAAAATCCATTATATTATAGTAATGTTCTGTCACGATGTAATTCGATTACGTTACAGAACTGTAATGTAATCGATTTTAAACCTTTTCAACTTACTATTATTTATTATTTATTATTTATTTATTACAGATAGATAGATTATAGCAAAAGCTTCAAGTGTCTACAACAAGATTCAAACTGGTTCAAATTTGCAAAATAAGTCAACGAGTGAGTTTAAATATTCTGACTAGTGACATCCAAAAGATAAATAATTTGATGCTGTTCCGCTAAACTCAATGATAATTTTGAAAGTAACTATGCCGTCTGCAATTTTGTGATTTCAGAGTGCCATGGCAAGCAATCTTGGTTGAGTTACGAAGATGACAAGTGTTTGTTTTGCGAGTGCCATGGGCAAGTTTCCGCGACCTGTCGCGTTGTCAAACCTATGTGCCCAGCTGTAAGTTGCAAAGAGCCGGTAATCCCCGACGGAACGTGCTGTCCATATTGCGGTATTTACCATATTCCTGTCCATCATAAGACTGCACATGATAATAATAATAATAATCGCTTTTTCTTTCTGCCTGGGGTTTGGGAATTTAGTTACAATTGTAGTGTCACAATGACGATATCAATCCATAATACTTTTAGATAGAGAAAGGAAATAGAAACCAGGTGCAACAGTGGTGAACGAAGGAAATATTGAAACTGACATGGTAAAAATTGTATGGCTGACAGTAAGGAGAATTGCTTATGAGATCTTAGGAGTGAAAGAGTCAAGGAACACGGTTGATGAATGCAGTTTCATCTTTCATGTCCAGTTCTTCCAGAATCTCCAAAGCATATATCACACTACCGATCATTTTCACCTGTTGGTAAAGCGGACAATGACACATGAAGCTGTTTTATTTTTCATTGATCAATAAATTTCTTTCTTGTCTTGACAGAACCACAAACAACTCCTCCGCCAGTGTTTACAATCAAGCCAACGGAGGAGAGACCAGAGCCAACCTTCCCTTTTCCTTTCTGATGCGAAATAAGAGGTAAAGACGATAAACTCATAAACCGTTGCTAAGCAGCTAAGTTCGTAATCAGGAATTGTTCGAATAATCAGGAATAAGTTCGTAATCAGGAATCAGGAATTGCATACGTCATTGTTCTCGTCTAGCCTTTGTTCTTTTTCTTTCTTTTTCTAAGCTTCTTCATCTTCTTGATCGTCTTCTTTCCTTCTCTAATCTTCTAGTGAGCATCGTAGTTGATCCTATTTTGCCTTTCCTCGCCATCTACTCCTTCTATTTGATATCTTTATTTTACCATTAATTTTTCTGACCTTTTTTTTTTTTGTTTTTGTTTTCGTGATTCTGTTTGGTGCTACAATTTGAATTGCCAAAAACCCAAAGAATATATTCCTTCTGAAGTGATAAGCGTGAATTTTTAATCATTTGTCTTTGAAAACCAGCTACACAGGATTTAACCAACTTTTTTGTAACTCATTTTCAGGTGCAGATGATCCACGGGAATTACTGTCTTATAGAGGCTCCTCACCCTACGTTAACTATTGTATTCTGCAAATGTTATGTTCTTTTATAGTAGTTACAACCAGAAAAAAATTAAAAACGTTAAAACTCAAGGATTTGGTTTATTTTATTGACTGTGTTGTTTGATCTGGTGAGCTCCACACATGTATTTGTTTTTACATCTGATTCAGTTTTCTTTGACAACATTATTGCAACTAGATATAGGTGAGCCTTGGAATCGTAGAAATATTGATCGTTTCTAAAGTTAAGAACAGACCGATTATCACTGATTATTCAAGCTAAATCATCACTGCATATTTGTCAGGACTCACTCTTGGGATAGTGGTGCCTTTTACTAACCAACTATATGAAAAAAAAAAGCCACACGTTTTAAATGTGGCTACGTCGCTTGGGAAACGCGAGTCGTGAGCCCATTCAACAGGAAAGGCCTTGATGTGAAAGCGGTGGATTCTAGAAATGTCAGTTGTATGGTTTTAATCGCCTCTGGATGGTAGCTTTTATCTGCACTGACTCTCCCTTTCAGGCAGGTAATATAAATTGGTGCGGGTGTTGAGTGAATTTCTTCTTGTACCATTACGTGACAGATGGCTTTAATTTTGCAATCATTTTAGAGGAAACTATGGGCAATTGTTTACCTCGGGGTACCGTAATTACTTACGAAAGAATGATGCTGATAATTAATTCAAGTTGTCATTGTATTATCGAAGACACTGCTGGAAGTAAAGTGCCCTGGAAATAATGCATTATACTTTCATTTCTTTTGGATTGAATTTCAATGATGATTTATCACTCTTACAATTAAACAAGCTAATTCAATATTGCACATTTGTCATATTTCACTGTGGTTGTTATCTATGTGGGATCTCCCATCGACAAGCAAAGCGCTGAGGAAAAAGAACACAAACTTTGACAGAACCGCCTGATAAATCTCCTTCAAGGCGTGAAGTGTACAAAACTTGAAAAAAATTTGTCTTTAGGCTCGCTCAATGAATTCTTTAGAACTGAACAGTCACCTTTCATAGCTAAAGGCAAAGCAGGTGGCTCAAAACTATCACAATCTATCGTAACCTGTTTGCACAGCGCAGACAGGAAAAAAGCGCGTCCTTGTCTTATTTTCATTCAATTCAATAACCTCAAAACTAGTGCCGCATGAATTGGAATAAAAAACCAAACACTATAAACTAAAGAACAAAGAAATATATAATCTGTACCACGTCGTTAAACAAAAGCTTTTAATCATGATAATCAGCCAAGCTTTAAACCAATTTAAGTTTGCATATTTATGGTGTCGTGGCTTAGACTATTGTTATAAAAAGACAATCTGCGAAAATATTACGTTACTTAGTTGTTACAGAGCGTAGCGGATCTGTTTCCACAAGTTCACCATTTAAGGTAAGTTCAGTTTCTCTTGAAATTATAACCAAAAATTTTCCAATAGGATTCATCTCAGGATATCCTTTCAAAAAGATATTCCCCTTTCAACTAATGTAATTCTAAGGTTTGCCGGCCATTCGCCTCAGACTCAAACATGGAAGGTTTCTTCCTCAAAGCACTTTGCAAAACTGCACTCCTATACAATCCAGAAAATCCTATACAATCCAGAAAACAACGTCTACGATTTTCTACCGCCCCTCTCCTCCCTACAATGTTGATAATTGTCAATGCGTCTATGCCATCTTGCAGACCAACATTTAGAGGGGCAGGGGTTGCAGTCAGCGGGTGTCCCGGCTAATGTGTCTGGAAGTGTAGTTCGCATGATATAACAATCTAGCCTGCGAACCAATCTACCAGCAGTTAAAGTAAACTGTTTTGTTCCCTAAAACGAATCTGAAGAGGCAAATTTTCTAAATTTTGTCATCAAATCTACCCATTATATAAACCAAACTCTGAAGAACTGAGTTTGTAAAAAAAAGTATCCCAGAGTTTTCTAAGCAAGGGGCACAATGACCAAAGTTTAATTAGTTTCTTAGAAGGATGGACCTAAACAGCACTTTACAACTTTTTTCTTTGGCATGTTTTGCCTGTGCAAATTTAGCGACTTTCAGATTTTTACAGACAATGAAGTAAGCCAACCGTGGCTGAAAGCAACTGAAAATCATAAATGCAATATTCTTATAATTAAAAGACGAATTTAGAACCTCTGGTTACCTCCAGAAATTCCTCAAATGTCAGGGACCACCTAAACATGCAAGTGTCAGTTAAAAGTCCTAACGCATTTAGCACAGTACAATCCTATCGAGATCTTTCGACGTAGCGCAACATAATGCTACAACCAAGTTAAATGTTTCTTCGGAAGATTCTTGAATTCAACATTGTTTATCTATCTTTAAAAGCTTTAACCCCATCCAAGTACAATAGTGCAATACGGAAATCCCATGATCTATTTAAGCATTCGTCAGTAACCAATTAAGAACAACTCTTTTTGTAGAGCAAGAACAATGCTTGATATTTGCTTGGTTTCACACACCATTTCCATCTAGTGATGACTGTCGCGTCTGCCCAATAGTATTACCAGTTTGTAAATATTCAGCCTAGAGACATTTTTAAATCGGTACGATCAAGAGAAAGTATCCTGAGTGATGACAACGACAATGAAAATAACATTTTCTTTTGGATTATAAAGGTTAAGCGTTAATCACTTCAAATTTTGAGAAATTTCTCTTCGTATCATCTTCCTTGATGTCAGATCAATTCCTTTAAAAACTCGCTTTCAAGGCGATGAAGTAGAAATCTCTACCGCCCGGTGAATTCTTTATTACGCGCTATCCTAAAACTCGCTTTGAAGGCGATGAAGTAGAAATCTCTACCGCCCAGTGAATTCTTTATTACGTGCTATCCTAACCAAAAATGATGTAGACTAGTAAACGTGTTCACACTTTTTCCCTTCCACAGATGCTTTTTTTATTGTGCGTCTTACTTTTTGAGGCATGTACTGTGTCAGGCAACCCAATGAAAAACCACGGTATGGGACATGACTCCATTCAGGTAATATACAACTTTTGTCCGCTATAACTTCTGTCTTGTCTGTGGATGACTGCGTTGTCTCTTTTCCCGATAATTCTCAATCATATCTTAGCAAATTAAAACCAGGTACCTAAAAAGTACTATTAACAAAGCCAATACAGTCTAAGCTCACTGAAGAGGGAGAGGGGGATAGCCTCCTGGTGACAAAATAGTCATTTCCCCGCTTAAATATTGGCTCTCTTGCTTTCTTCATAGCTGGGAATTGCTTTTTTATTTCAGGAAAGTCCAGATCAAGAGAGCCAGGATGATTCCTCCATGATACTAGCACGATATGTCCGTGGTAAGTTCAAAACGTCTAAAGAACTTATGAAGTTCACTCTTAAGTCTCGTACCCTAATTAAGGTATTTCACTTAACAAAGACAGTAAATCGCAAAGCTCGGGAAATGGCCACATTGTTGTGTGTTGCTCTGGACGAAAATATGCCGTCCAGAGCAGACCAACCACAACTTTCTCGTAATTGTGGCGATAGTAACCCCATGCAGATAGATAAAAGTACGAATTCGCGGGATTGGAGTACAGGCAAGGTGAAATACAGAAGTTTCTCGCTTCAAGAAAAATTTTGAGCCAATGACAGTGTTTGTTAACGTTCGTCCATTGTTATAGATGATTACCGATTTCATAGCTTATGCATGTGGCTGATCAGTCCGAAGTGGGCTTAGGAGACTGTGGTACACGTTGAACACTGATGATCAGCTATTATTGGGGTTGGGAGATTGGCTATGGACATTCTCAGCATGTCTTCTTCATCGACCTCAGCAATCCTTTGTCGCTCATTCTAATTGTCATTCTTTTACGTAATGTTTTAGGAGGATCCAAAACATGCACATACAGAAACAAGGAATACAAACCGGGCACAAAAGTTGACATAAATGTGGCTCCGGATTATGCACGATGTGATCAATGTACTTGTAGCAAGAAAGGAAAATTCCGCAAATGCACCAAATTGTACGATTGTGAAGTGGGTTCTCTGCAGTGCAAGGCTGAGGATTACGAATGGCCTCCTGATATCTGCTGTCCTGAGTGCAAACGAAAAAGTGAGTCACTTATTTGTCAAAGTGTTCTCATTCAGCATCATCATCTCTCCACTGTTCCTTGACTTTATTTTGTTTCAGTGAGCAGTGTTGTTGGTTTTTTTTGCTACTGGTTTCCATCAACTGCACGTTTCTCGTCTGTATTTTTTTTCATGAACTTTCTGTTACACGATCTTCGGTTTCTGTTGTTCTGCTGACTTGCCGTTGGTTCCTTGAACGATTCTGTTGTAAATTTGTACCGAGGCCAACTACTTCAACTCATATAGCAAATTATTCCGTAGCTCAAGACAAAGACCATTATAAGTTGGACAGAATGGTTACTTGCAATCAGAATGAAAGAATGATAAAAAATGTAATGAAATCAACCTGCATCATTTGCAATTTCTTATTTTTTTTGCATCTCTGTTACCTTATATAGCCCTTCCCGGCGTAACGACACTACGGACAAGCTTGCCGTCATTTAGCTGCTTTTCGTTCAATATCTAAATCAGTTTTCTTTGTTAATTGCACGTCTATTATCCTCAGAGGCCATTGCATTTTATCACTCCAGTGTGGCATAGATGTGAACTATGAGACAACGAAGCCTTTATTCTGATTCGCTCAAAACAAACCAATCGTTTCTTGGCATTAAAGAATAAAGTTATTGATTAACAGGTTGCACCGACGACAGAAAGGTTGGGGAAAAATGGCAGAGGATAAAAAGTAAGACAGGGCCGAATGAAGGCATCTGTTCCCTTTGCGAATGTTTAGCAGACGGAAAAGAGTTCTGCAATGACAACCGTTTCATTTGCTTCGACATACCAGGGTGCCTGGAGACTGAGATGAAACCGGACTTCTGCTGTCCACAGTGCAGTAAGTACCACCAATTGAAAGAGTTAATGATAAAAATAAATGCCGCATGAATAGAGGGAAATAGAGGGGAAAAAAGAGGTCTTACCGCAAAAGCATTGGAATAATCACTACATAGAGCACAGGAATTTACTAAATAATAAAAGGCGTACTTTTTGATGGAGGCGAGAAAATGGTCTATTTTAACACATTTGACAAAAATTCAATTTGTTATCACATGACTGGTACCCACTAACTCTATATACTAAGTAAAGTAAATTCATCACGAAGCCAACACCCAAACTAGCGCCATGAAAACGTTGAGAATAACCTAGCAACAAGAAGCCGTATATACGAAGTTCCAATGAGTCCGTGAAGTAGTAAAAGTTGCGCGTTAGGGAAACTGCTCATTGGGTAATAGGTCCATGATTACCGTCACAAAATAATATTGAGTGAGAAAGTTGTGGATTCGATGAAGTATATCTCTGTCAACGAGGAACTAGTCAACCTCACTTACTGAAGAAGACTAGCAGTTTGTAGTTGAAAGTCGCGATCCTAGCAACTGACTGCATCGTAAGACGAACGATTATACTTCATTCCTACGGTTATTCATGTTATTTCTCGGTTGATGCAGTTGTTGTCGTCACTTGGTGAGTAGGTGGTGTAGCTAGTATAGGGTAACAGCTCACTGTTCTTTTTCTATCAAATCTTTCAGAAACTTGGGCCAAATCAACCACGACTACTGCACCAAGCTTTACCATTGTACTGACGGAACCTACAGAGCCACCTTTTCCTCCTTTCCCGTTTGACGCCAATAAAGACCAAGAAAGTTAAGACCAGGCGTAGTGAATGTTATTTTTCGCAGATGCGATTTGCTTTGGGTGTTTAGATCTCTGAGAACTTCCGGCGGTTTTTTTTTCCAGGAAAGAGTAAGCACAATGATTCTGATGAATTGTGTTGTGAAAGAAGAGATGGTTAAATAAGTGTGTTAGTGAGACTTGATTATAACCTGGAATTAAAACTTGAAAAGAAATTCTTTGCTTGCTGCAGTCGTCATGTTAAAATTTAAATTACTTCTATCAACCCTCACCTTAGTGGTTAAACCGAATCAGGGATTTTCGTGCAGTTTCCTCAATGTTTCGTGAGGAAAAATTCAATCATCAATTTTAACAAATTTTTTGATACTTAATTTTTTTTTTCGTCTTCTGTTGCTTGTAAGAGGTTCTGTTCACTTCAAAAACTTTGCAGTTCAGGATTAATTTCTCCGGTCCTGCAGTTTTTCCAGTTCCACACCTCAACAACGCACGGTAGGAATTTGTCTGATTATAATTATACCGTAAAGCACAACGCGGGACATCCTGAGTGGACAATGTCGACAACTATTTCCACTAGTGTGGCAAATCAGAATGCGACATGGTGGAAAAACGAAGCCATATAATCAAAGCGGAATGAGTCAAGTCTCACGCAAACGCCAAGACATCCACGAGGCGCATTTGAGTTGATTGGTAACTCTACAGTCATCTCTAAAATTATCACGGCATCACCTTTCAGTTTATTCTTTGGGTTTCATGTGCAGATATTAAAAAGCTTTCGTGATCATTCCCTGCTGTAATTTTTACATTATTTTTTGCTTCCATCGAATCGATATCAGAATAATTCACTCTATTGTTCGGATCTCTTAGTTACCTTAACTATGGTGAAAAGAATTTCATATTGTGGTCTGTTTTGTTTTCATGTTATTGCCGAACCAATGCGAAAGCCACGAAGATAACCAATACGTATATATTTTTTATTTTTTTTTTTTAATCAGCTCTTCTTCTTCTTGCTTTGGAGAATAAAAATATATTTTGATTAACAAATATCCAAATAAGAAAAGTCGCGAGCAATTTAGTCGTCGCGATGTAATTAAAATTCAAATGCATTAAATTTGCCAACAATTAATGGAAGGAAGAGATCTCTATGGATGACGCAGATGACTTTGAAATAGAAGGCGGTTTGTTCTCCTAAATGACAAAGGCCTAATTGTAACTGTTTTCAGAACTGCTAACTCAATTTCTTTTATAATATTGAGCTGTATTTATATGTTAATAACCGTTAATTTTTTCTGAAATGACTACTCTGGAAAATGTGAATTAGATCCATTTACCTGACGGACAGAGTGATTACAATCAAGTTTTGGGTAGGTCGCGTTTAGGACAAATATTTTAATATTTCCTGCATATTTGACCGAAACAAAGTTCTGTCAAGTGATTCAACATGCCTAAATATCATGTGCTAGTCCATATAGGATACACGTTTCACTTTACACTTGCGATGCTAATCAAAAATCGTCTCTATTGATTCGCATGTAGGTGAAACCCTTGAAACTCTATTTTTTCAGTTCTGCGTTGAGACAATTTAGAGGCCTTCTGTAGGTATACAGTTTTCAATGTGTCGATCTTGTAAGCCATCATCAACCGCTTGGACGCTAATGGGACCTGTGGACTTGGTGTTTTGTTGAGACACGCAAAGGTTTTTTTAGTTGGTGCTCAGGCAAATTTAGCTATGTCATTTTGAACTGATGGAGCTTAATTAACAAGCGTCGATAACCACCTTTTGGTGGTTGGATTGCAATTAATTTCAATCATTAGATGGAGAGGGAATTTAATGTCTAGACTATCTATCATCTTTAGATATATTCTGTGGCTACAGACTTATCAGTTCACGTATACTTAAATCCTTTAAACCTCGTTCGTCGCTAAGATTCTTGGACGGACAGAATTGGCCTTATTTTTAACTGCTTCCACTCAAAATGAAAATGACCATTTTTCTAAAACTGTGGTGTTTGACCATTTCAGACAGTCTTTTGATTGTGGAGACGATTGATATCTCACCTAGGGACACGTTCAGGTGACCACAGAAACAAAAGGATGGTGGGACAGATGTCCCAGAATATTTGTGGTCATTATTTTAGGAGCAATTGACGCCATTTGAATAAGGCTCATAAACAGTGATCATAGCTGCATTGATAATAATTACTCGGATGAAACCAAAATTTAAGAGAGAAATTGTCGAGATGTGGTTAAATTTGGAGAACTATTGATACGAATTAAAATGTTTGTTTTCCCGCTGACAAAACAATTTTTATTTCTTGTGCGGAGTATTGATCTTAGCTCTTAAACCTTTTTTAGCGTTTGTACACAAAGCAATAAGGGTTGGCGTCTCTCGAATACTTGCAATGCATTACACTGGCATTATACCGTTTTCGGTAACATTTCAAAGCGTTGTAGTTCATCAGGATGATTGTTGATGAGAACCTTTTACTTGGGTATTTCTTTTCAGTTATTGAAATTTTAATTTGATCAGTTGATTTTTGATTTTAGCCTTTGTAACCAATTCGATCGGCCTCTCATTTCACTCGACAAGAAAACGCGAAACCCTTTGCATCAGTTTTTCTCTGTCTCTGTCAGGTGAAGTTAAGAAAAAAGTATGTTAAAATGACACTGACTCGCATTAATAAGCATCTTCTGAAGTCCACCAAGGCTTAAAACAGGCCTTCTCCGAGGGTTCAGTATTAATTTTCTCACATTTCATCGTTTTCTTTTTTATTTTTTTTTGTTTTAATTTCTTGCCATAAAGCCTTGTCATTGCTAGTAACTTGTTCTAAGGGCCAAGGTAGGATGCTACCTATCACTTCCAGATTTGACATCATATGACAATATTTTTTGGGTAGGTATTCAGTCAACGAGACTATAATTATAATTTATTTTTCAAGATTCAAAAGAGAATAAGCGTACTGAAGAGATGAAAGGACTTCATGGCAAGCTTTTATTTAGTAAAAAATCATTGAGGGCATAATGTCGATGTATCGAATACAATATAAAGAATAGATGTCTTTGGTTGAAAACCTACAAAAATTAAAACGGAAACTAGCGAAGGCTTTCAAATACATGTATCCCTGAATTGAGCCCAAATAAATCACTAAGCATATAATCATTACTGCGTTTATGTTCAGGGGGAAGAAGGGATTTATCGAAAAGGGGGAAGGGAGGTTTCCCCACCTTTATGTTACGGTCAGTGAGCCACATTTATTTATTCATTTATTAAAAAATATTTATTTATCTATTAAAAAATATTTAAAGAGGGAGCCCAGCTCGCCATAGCGGCTTTCAGTGAGGCCCTCAAAATTAACAATGTATAAAATAAGTAATCACGTAATTAATAAGTAAAAACTCACGGTGGAAATATGAAATATCTAAAATATGACCTGAACAGAAAATAATAAAATCGATGTGCAAGAGATGACACACTAACGGAACCTATTAAAATTCAAAATATTTAAGCAACGAAATTTTAAAAGCATCATAGGGTAGACATCTCATGTCTTCTGGGAGGGAACTCCAGTCTGTCAATGCACTGTTAAAAGATCTGAGTAGACCCCAGTTCGTGTTTGATCTAACAGATCTAATAATTTCCTTGGAGCGAGTGTTATGGCTATGATAGTCTGTGCCTTGAGTGATCATACTGTTTCTTTCACTGTAATTTATAAGTTTATGCATAAAAATACACCGTTGCATCGCATTGTTGCATCCATATTAGGAAGGGGGAGCTCAGAAAGACATTTACTATATAACTTAGGGTTAAAGTGATGTGTAATCATAAAGTACGTCTATTTGTTGTAAAAGCTGGAAGTAAAGTTTACTAAGATTTTTTTTTCTCTAGGATCTTCATTTTTAAAGTTTTCTGGGTATCAAAACTTTTCTTTGACCATCTTACATTTCAAAAATTTCTGCAATTTGTTCCAAAAAGCTAGTTACGAAAACAAAGATTTCAGCGACCAATACCATTTAACTACGAGCGTTATTGAACTAAATTAAAACGATTAAGAAAATAATTTGACGTTAAAACATTGCAAAAAAAGCGAAAAACTTAAAACTATTGAGGTTTAAAATGTCCAAATTGTCTTTAAAATGTCTTAAAAAACGACGACGTTTCGACGTTTGCTTAACATCATTGTCAGGTCAAGATAAAATACTAAGTGTGCATTTAAATGTGGAAAGAATTCCTTAGAGGTATGAAAGCAATAACAAAGTAAAACAATGATAAAATACCCCTAGATAAAGAATATAGCAAAAATAGAGATTTTTAATTAGAACGAACTTATTAACCAGATTGATTGATTGTAAAATGAATTTTTCAGAGTGCACTGGAGGTAGAAAAGATGGCCGTCAAATTCAAGCTGGCACTTATCATCTTCGTTAACGTTGGTTTTATCGTTTCTACTGAGGGTCGTTCTGTTAAAGAGGTTTGTGATTCATGCAAAATATGGGGCCATTCTCCTATTATGTATTGTTTCCCTAAGGTTGGTTACATAAAGAATAGTTTTGTCACTTAGAAATGACTTTGTTGGAAATCAGTATGAAGAAACCAAACTTTTAACCCATGCCAAGGATTATCAGGTGGAATTTGGTTCATCGAGGCGATTAGTTCCCTCAGATACTGGGTTTTATCGTTACGTACATAAGTAAGTTTGTGGCTGAATTGATCACTCAGATTGTCCTGAATGTAAGAGAAGGGAAAGAGAAGAACTAAATTAATGATCACTTATAGCTGAGAACTAGTATGTCATTTTCAGGACAGTTCAGATCTTGAGGCCCATGACGTGTCCGTGATGATGGAAAAACGAGGTACATGTACATCATATCAATATTTTAACCATTCGGCTACGCAAGAAAAAGCGGTAAGCTGCAATACTCGCTGATACCGAGTTATCACTAAGATTCATTGCTAAGTGATTCGAAACGAAACGTATCTTGAAAGTAACCTGACCGAAAAGCAGCTTTGAGATGACTAAAATTGGGTTTGGAGATTCTACACATACTGCCTCTTGTCGGGAATCACAGCGACTCCCTATAATTTCTTAGGATGGAAGATAACTCTGACAGGACTATGGTAATTTCGCTTCCCATTTTAGGATCAAAAGTGTGCATAAATAGGAACGAGGAGTACAAATCAGGCACGACCGTTAATATCGCTGTGGCCCCGAAGTATGATCGCTGTGATAAATGTAAATGCATCAAAGGAAAATTCCGAAAATGCACAAAGTTATACAGTTGTCATGTAGCTGATCAGTGCAAGGTGGAGGACTATGTATGGCGGCCTGGCAGTTGCTGCCCTGAGTGCAAGCAAAAAGGCCAGTTTTGATGTTTTTCTCTCTTTCTGTATGTCTCCAGTGTGCTTGACTGTTAATTAACCTGTGAATACAGCAGAATCCTGCTGATTCAAACTCCCAAAGGAAACAAAAAATGGCTCGAGTTTGCGGGGGTTCCAGTTCGCTGATTGTAAATGACTGAAAAAATGCATGGGTCAAGGGAAATCGGATCTTGTTCGAGTTAACCGTGCTCGAGTTAGCGTGTACCCACTGTAGTTTTGTCTCTCTGTTCTTGTTACATTTCTTCTTGATGTACATGTACCTTTTAAACAATAAAACCAAGGCGATTGATTACCATTGAACATCATTTACGTTTTTGATTTACAGATTGTTCCGATGATAGAGAAGTTGGCGAAAGATGGGAGAGGTTAGTGCGTTTGCCAGGGGGTAAGAAGAAAGGCATCTGTTCTTTATGCGAATGCAGAGCAGATGGTAAAGAGTTTTGTGAAGACAATCTTTTGTTATGCTTCAAACCAGAAGGATGCCTAGAGACTGAAATGAAGCCGGATCACTGCTGTCCTCAGTGCAGTACGTATCAGCATAAGTACAGACCCATAGGAAGCCCAGGTTCATGATAAGGGTATCGTTTACGTTCATTGCAGGTCTTGAACCTCGAATACCTGTTGTGGACCCCTTAAGAAAGCGGAAATAAAGGATAAAAAACTTGATGGCTTTAAGTATCGTATTATGTCAATCTATAACGGTTTTCTAACCGGAATTCTTGCAGCCCATATATAATATTACGTTTAAAAAGTTTACAGACTGGCCGGAGCAAGCCGATACTTTATGTAAATCAAATGAATAAAGGCTGATAGTTTCCAAAGAAACTGTTTGGGGCTGCGTCGGTGTGAGTAACGAAATAATTTGCACATATCAACAACGTTGAAATGGTAAATTGGCTACCGTAACGATTACAAAAGCTGACGTTTCGGGCGTTATGTAAATCAATTTGTTGCTTCGTTGGGGCTAGGATCACAACTAAGCAGCGATCTCAGTCCTACTCAAACGTTAACCCCCTCCCCCCTTTACTTCTCTGGGAGAACACCAGAGTGGATCAGGATACCCATTGTTTAAGCCGAATGCTTTGCACAATTTTAAGAATCTTGTAGGAAAGCGTTGGCCCAGCCACAAAGGTATCCCGTGTGGCTTGGCGACCGAAAACAAAATTTGATTTTTTCCTCGTTAAGGCTTCTTTCAAACGATCTTATGGAAACTTGATTGCAAAGTGTTCTCTAATTCTGCAAGAAGAATCAAAAGTAGTGTATCCATAGTTAAGCAAAGTAGTAACTACCTTATCCACTACGCATGTGTATTTGTTTATTGCTGCCTTCTAACAAACTTTTCAGAAACTCGGGCAACAGCGATGACTACAGCACAACCCACCTTTATGATAGTGGAAGGTACGGAGGAATCTTCGCTTCCGTTTCCATTTGGCTTCGATGCCAATACGGAGCAAGACTGATAAGAACAGGTAGAAAATATATCTATAGGACTCCTTCTCTATATGTCTGCCATAGGAGACATAAAGGAGACATTTCGTACTTATCTCAGATTTTCTTTTATAACGAGGAGACTGGGTGGAATTTTAAGAGGGCAGAACTGGATTGAAGACAACAGTAGTCTACTGTTGAGATCGATGACAAGCTAGGTTATCTTTATCTTTTAAAGAGAACCTCACACGTATCTAGGATCCCGCAGGAACAAGAATGTACCGTTTCATGAAATTGCTCTTGTTTACCAATCTTTTGCTCTAACAAGTGACGAACTTCTCCGTTCACGTTAGCTTCTGAGCGAGTCGGTTGAGTTTCATCTCAGACCATCTTTCTCTTTTCGCAGGTAAATTGACCTTTGACGGTCTATCTCTGAGCCTCCACGATGTCGTGAAAAAGTGTAAACGCATTTTCTGGAAGCATCGTGATGGAGAATCGAGCTTAAACAGGTCACTTTTGTGAGAACTGTGCAAAATATGGAAATAAAGAATGGTATGAAATGAAAATAAGTTGTTGCTCTCTCTGTGCATAAAGTCATAGGTATAAAGTCCACTGTTCGTTATCCGGTGATCGTGTCTGGGTTAGATTCCAACCGAATCAATTCCATCCCTACAGTCAGGTAGTAAATCCTACACCATACAAAATACAGCAAAATATTGGTATAAAGTCCACTGTCAACACCCGCTGAACAACACTTTCTTCTGCTCTCCCCAACCCTGTCTATTTTTTGAGATTTCCGGTTTATTGTCTAATTTCAAAGAAATTTAGAACAAATGCATAGACATGAATTGGTTCATACTTTGTTTTTATATTTTTTTGTGTTACGGGCAGGAAAGTACTCGTAAATTTTTCTACCACGCATTATCGAATAGTCATTTCCTGAATATGGAACAGATATTAGCAGTTCTTGATTTTTTTTTTGTCTACTGAAAAATATATCATAATATAAATGGACGTTTAAGACAAATCCAGTAAATGGCTTTAATTAAAAAATGTCGGAAATTTGCTTGAAGGAAATGAAGAAGCGTAACTTTGTTTGAATAGTCTAGCTTTGTTGCTCTCTTGATTGGAATTTCATCCAATCAAATCATTTAACTCTAGGCCACGGCTCGCTTGATCGCTAGCGGAGCCACATTCCATAAGTGCTTGCTTGATCGCTAGCGGAGCCCTATCCCAAAGGTCGTCATAAATATCTATTGCCTTCCGTATTCCTTTTAATTAGAATTAAGACACTGAAGAAATTGAATGATATGTTACGCCTGGTCCTTCAGGTTTTTCATTTCTACCCTTGAGTTATATACACCACTGCATGCAAACGCTCAAGTATTAGAAATACTGATGCATCAAAAAAGCGAAAATTCAGCGGACAAGTCAAGCCCATCTCTTCATTTCAGGTTGATAATCAAGGCAATGACATATTCAAGGAACCAGCCGCATGACCATAAACAAACCGAGCTTTAGTCCGAAACTCAATATGATATTCGCGAGGCGCAAATAAAGGGTCTAGAAACTCATTCCGCAAATTATTACTGGTACGTTTTCAGTCACTTTTAACAGATTTAGGAACACAACACCACAGTTTTTGTAATCATCTATGGCCATGGCAAAATCCAATCTTAACTGTGACGTTAAAATAGGATAGATCTATTAGAGGCATTTAACTGAGGTTTCTGCTTTAATGTTTCTGGTTTATCAATCTGTTCATCTCGTGTAATAATCTTTTCGAGCGATTGATCGGTTTTTTTTGTTTCCATTAATCAAGATATCTAGATAACGACTGTCAGGAAGGAATAAACAACAAGACTCTCATTTAGGGAAATTCGCAAAATGATTGCACGATATCTCTCACAATAAAGCTGATATCAGAGTTTGGATATATCAACAAAGTTGAAATGGTAAATTGGCCACCGTAACGATTACAAAAGCTGACGTTTCGAGCGTTAGCCCCTAGCTCTGACGAAGGGCTAACACTCGAAACGTCAGCTT